TAGTGGTTAACGTATAGCATCGCTGTGTGATCCTTGTTTGAATATAAGAGAATTTTATTATAATTAATTATTATTATTTCAGGTGTTAGGCGTAGAATTGCCGCCACCAAAGAGCTCCTGACAGTCGGTCATATGACAAATCGTCTCAATTATGCTCGTAGTCTCAAGGATTGGACTCTCATTGAATGGTCACGAGGAATATTTATCGATGAATTCTTGTATTGTACCACATCTTGTGGCCGGCATTGGGTGTGGCGAACAATAAATACACGATATCATCAGGAAAACATTGCGAACTTTCAGGCCACTCGTCGTTTTAGTGTTTCATTTATTGTTTGGTAAATATTTTAAACAAAATTTTATTAAATAATAAAATTATTTTATAGTTTCAGTTTCCATGGCATCGGCCCTATTTATCGCGTCAACCGTTTAACTCAAGAGTCGTATACCGACTTTTTGGAGAACTCTCTTCTCGATTATATTGATGAGAAATTTGATGACGGTGTTGTCTTGCTTTTGCACGACAATCACCCCGTACACACATCAAATAGTGTTAAAAATTGGATTACGCAAAATATTGGCCAATATAAAGATTTTGTCTTCCCCCACCCAAGGTATTATTTAATTATAAATCAATAATTTTTAAATTGTTTATTAATTACAGTTTGTCACCCGATTTAAATCCGGTGGAAAATGTGGGAGGAATGATAAAACACCTCGTGAGAGGCAAACGGCCAATATTTAATTCTAATGAAGAATTGTGGACAGCGATTGAAGAGACACAGAAATCAATGAAAGCAATTCATTGGAGAGAATACTTCATTAATATTTTGAATTCAATGCCAAACCGGTTACAAGAAGTGATTGCAAACAATGGTGGCGATACAAGCTATTAATTACTTAACTAATTAAATCCCATTTTAATTAAAATTCATAGCAATTTTAAATGTGTTTATAAAGTATTGAATTAAATATAATGTTTACATAAATTAAAAATAAAATTTGGAAATATTTTCCTATTATTTTCTATGGAGATTTTTTTGAAACATTACTTTTTTATAAACTAAAATTACGCAACAACCATAATAGTTACAAAAATAATCTAAATTAGTAAATTGGTCTCCATTATCCACAGAATAATTCTGTGAAGACAGCTTTTTGATATAACCATCGTGAGAGAAGTTATTCAATAAAAACAAAATCAGATTATTTTGTCCAAACGTGTAGGTAAACTAATATTATTATAAAACGGTTTGTAAATTATAAAAAAATATTATTACGCTTAAATCAAGGTAAAGCACTAATATAAACTATTTATTTTAAAATGATCAACTTGTCTATAATAGATATTCATAAGCATATTTTAATTATTTAATGAGCAGGTTATCCTTGGTGCTTAATATACTTATAAGTCGCTTGTAGTTTTAATACATCAGATATAATCAATTGAATACGTATTAAAAATCAATAATTAATTTATAATAAGTAAAAAACATATAATCAAAACCTTAAAATATGATAGAAAAATTTTCAAATGGCATTAAGTGCCCACTGTATTTCCTATGGACAATGAGTAATAGAGTAATACTCATTGTCCATAGGAAATACATTGAATACTTAATGCCATTTGGAAATTTTTTATTCATATGTTCAAAAAATAATTTTACATAATAATTATTACATTTTCTAGCGACTATTTTATCAGTAAATATGCGTATTATGTTAAAATATTAAATGAGTAGTTGTATGAATGTTTTATTAAATATTTACTTGCAATAATTTACTATAACTAAAGCAAATACAAATTAATTTTTAATTAAATATTCTTTGTATAATATTCCTATAATAATTATTATTATAAAATATCAATTGTATAATTTAGCTAACAAAATATACAACTAACACCAACTATGTTAGCCGAGGTAAATGTTAATAACTTTGCCGTCCGCGCCATTGTATGCCTGGCGTTACTGATTGGTTGCATTTGGCATATCATTGATATAAGTGTCATATACTTTCGGTATAAGTGAAGTTTATATTTGTTATTTTATTTATTACTTTATTTGTTAATTACATAAACATTATTGTTAACCTTAATCTCTAATTAACACTGCAATTATATATAAATTCTGTTTTATATAGTAAATTAAACATTAATTTTTGAAAATAAACAATTATTATTTTTATATTAGTCATGCACCTGTTTATTATCGTAAATATATGGATCCCAAAATTTAGTAAATAAATAATCTTAGTAAATTATCAATCTATTGAGACAAATATAATAAACATGTAAATAAAAAAATTAGACTATTAAATATAAAATTAAAAGTTTTTCAAAATTTGTTTTGTCAACACTAGATACGAGACTACAGTATCTACAGTGCTTGATACAGCACAAGTGATCAAGTCGCCGGCAATCACTCTATGTACTAATGTTAGTTACGCGGTCGACGCCGACTATTTACGGCACCGGTACCCAAACGACACGGCACTGGCAAACATAACCGACACCAAAGAAAACAAATGGCAATACAATCAATACATCTATAACCTAACACTGGAGGAGCAACTGTTGAACGGCACAATTGGCGCCAACCGGTTTTCAACACATGCGGAGTAATGAAACCCCTGGACGTGTTGTCATCAGACCAGTATATCGACTGCGCTCGGGTGGCACCGGTGGTCGAGTCGATAAATAAATACTACAAATGTTTTACCATTTTCGCCAAAACATAAGCCAATTGTCGGACAACGATCGGTACCGCGTGGACCACGACGTGATGTTTCGGGACAGCGCTTTTGTCCTGAGTTTGGTCAAACTAGACACCCGGTACTTAGAGAATTTACAAATTTTTATGGACGACCGGCGGGTGAAGAATTAACATTAGCAATGATTTTGCTACTCAGTTCAATTTATATATTATGATGCCCACCGACACAGTCACCCGGTACGTGCACTCACCCCGTATGGAGTTGTCTGAGTATATGGGCATTATTGGCGGTGTGTCGGGCCTATGGTTTGGTTTAAAAATACTGGCCTTTTATGATATTGGCCAGTCTTTAGTGGGAAATACACGTGCACTTTTTAAGTAATTTATTGTATAGAATATTATATTTACAATTATTGCAATTTATAACTAGAGGTCATTTTATTTTGTTTGAAATATTTAGGGAAATATTTTTTATATTTAGAAATTTCTAATTTTAACGATTATATAATACACTGTATGGATGCTTCTGTTTTATTGTGTAATATTTAAACACAAATATGTTATGATTAACTATTAGTTAAATTAAGTTTAAATTGTTTGTTTCAATTATTATTTTGTGTTAACAAATAAAAATTTGATTCATGCTTTTTATTTACATTTTCATTCACACTATTATTACAAGTTAAGTGCAAATAACACGACATGTAATCAGAGTTTAGGTTATTTGAATAATACGGATAGTCGTGTTTATAATCGCGATTCATGTTAATGATTTAGTAAATAATTCTTGATACAATATATTGCTGTGTTGATTTATAAATTATCATATTAAATATAACATGAAATAATGAATTTAAATGTTATTGTTATATGAAATAATTTACAAATATTAAATATACAATTTTTATTATAATTTAGATAAAAGTTAAAGTTCAGTTAATTTGATCGAACATGATTAAACTTTACATAACATTCATACCTGTACTTGCATTGTCAGGTATTTAATTTTAGCATAATATGCATATTTATTAATAAAATAACAGATAACAAAATATTCTGTAATTATCATTATATTATTTTAAAATATATAAATTTAAGTTTTAAATTAAATAAAATAAGTTTGATTAAGCGTATTAATTAACAAATTCAAACAGGTCACCAAATACTGGCCCATATCATAAAAGGACGGTACTCTTAGGCCGAACCACAGCCACGACACACCGCCAATAATGCCCATATACTGGGGTAACACCATACGGGGTGAGTGCACGTACCTGGTAATTGTGTTGGTAGGCATAGCAATATGTATATAGAACTGATCTTTTTTATTGTCATCTCTCTTTCTATTAAAAATTTTATTTATAGTGTAGTACACGGAGTAACAGTCGGGTATACGGCCGATCCGGTGGGCGCAGTGCGCGGCTATTTGTTCATCAACCGTACGATTTATTGTCATACCATTCTTCTCAAATCTCAATTTTCCATTATAGTCACTGTTGTAGAGCATGTCCGGCTGCCAGCCGGACAATTGATCACGGTAATACTCGGCTCGACAATGGCTAACGCGGTGTTTATGTGACCGAAACTTGTCTATTGGGTAGTGGACGCAATGTGGGGGCAGTTGTTCAACAGTGATTTCTTTGTAGGAAATGTCGATTCGGAAATAATCTTGATAATTCATATCCATGTAGCTGTTCTGACCGCCAATGGAGCCCACAAACGGCTCCCGCCGGTCGTGCATATAAATGGTCAGCCCCTGTAAATACTTGACGTTCAGTCCGAAACGAGCCAGATGAAAACCGTTGTCCCGAAACATCACGTCGTGGTTCACGCGGTACTGATCGTTGACCGCCAATTGGTCTACGTTTTGACTGAACATGGTGAAACATTTTAGGTATTCGCTTATTGACTTGACCACCGGTGCCACCCGAGCGCAGTCAATGTGTTGGTCCGATGACGACAAAGCCTGGGGTAGTAGTACTTCGCAACTTTTGATGAATAGGTCGGCGCCAATTGTGCCGTTCAACAGTTGCTCCTCTAGTGTCAGGTTATTGAGGTATTGATTGTATTGCCATTTGTTTTCATTAGTATCGGTTATGTTTGCCAGTGCCGTGTCGTTTGGGTACCGGTGCCTTAAATAGTCCACGTCGATCATGTTGGTAACATTAGTGCATATAGTGAACGCCGGCAACTCTATCACCTCAGCCGTCTCAAGCACTACGGATACTATTGTTTTGTTACTAGTGTTGACAAAACAAGTTTTTACTTTTGATATTAAAGATTGTTTTTAAAAAACATTTAATATTGTTAATATTTTACTAAAATTTTAATACAAGTTATAGCCAAATTTATGAGTACTTTTACAGGCCTTAATGCATTATATTTTTTGGTGAATGACATTACACATGGGAATTATCATTTCTAAATGCATAGAGATGTATGTAATTTACTAGAAATTTGGCCATAACTCGCGTGTTTGTGGCCATTGGCACTATTTGATGGCTGGATAGTCATAACGTGGCCACACATATTAACTCGCACTGAATCCGAGGTTTTCGCCTACAACTATCCCTTTTTAGTTTATCATGTAAACAGAATTTATATACAATCTTATTCGTTAGTGTTTATTACGGATAAGAGTTAACATTAAGGTTAATATAAATTACTTAATAAATAATTATACCCAAAGTATATGACACTGTTATTGACAATATTCCAAATTAAACCAATCAGTAACGGGAGGAATACAATAGCTCGGGTCGTGTCGACTAACATAGTTGTATATTTTGTTATATAAATTATACAGTGGGTATTTTATTATTATTAGTATTTTATTAAGTAGTTAAATAGTAAATACACATGTAGTAGGTAAACTAATATTAATATAAACGGTTTATAAATTATTATAAAAAATTGACATTCTTTATTCAAAACAAAGCATTAATATAAATTATTTATTTAAAAATAAACAACTAGTCCTTAATAAATAATAATAAGTTTATTTTAATTATTTAATGGGCAGATTAACCTTGGTGTTTAATGAATTGATAAGTCGTTTGTAACTTCAAGACACCAGACACAATCAACGGAATACTTAATAAACAATCAATAAATTGATTATAATATAATTTTTTAAAAAATAATTTCAAGGTTTTATAGGATTTTTTGTTATTTATTTAAATTAATTTATTCATTGTTCATTATGTGCTTTCTTGATTACATTTATACTTTTAAACCCCAAGGTAAACGAAAATTTTACATAATTAAAATGAACTTTATATTACATATTATAAACCAGTTGCTTATAATGAAATATTTATTAATTTATTTAAATATTTAAATTAATTGTTTATACAGTGCAACTTCTCTATAGTGAACGGCCAGTTGCACGGCAAAAGTGTTCATTATAGGGAGGGTTCATCCAAGGGAGGTTCGAGTTAAAATGTCTAATTGTTGATTAATATTTGAAATTATTTATTAATAATTACAATTATTTTAAATAATAAGTAATTTTAGTTTGTTTAATAGTAATCAAGTGATAATTATATGCTTTAATGTTAATTTTGTCCAATTGTTTAAATGTTTGAGCATTGGATGCGTCTCTCGATATAAAGTAATAATTTATAGTTCACTAATCAGAGAATGAATACACATTTCTTACAATATTAAATGAAACTTGATTTAAAAATGTGATTTTGTTTGCTTAAAGTCTTAGATTAGAAACTATTTTAACTACATTTGGGAATAATGTGCTTATTATTATATTTGTTCATTATTGGGAGTAAAAGTTTTATCTTAATCTCTATAAATCCGTTCATAATGGGGAGGTATTCATTATAAAGAAGTTCACCTAAGGGAGGTTATTTTAACATTATAAGTATAGGAAATCCAATACAAATTTCAAAACCGTTCATTATGAGGAGGTGTTCATCCAAGAAAAGTTCACCCAAGAGAAGTTGCACTGTATTAATACTTTTATCTTGAATTAGGCAAAATATAATTTATAAACCGTTTTATATTATTATTAGTTTATTTATGTGTGTTTACTTGCAATAAATCTACTATAACTAAAGCAAATAGAAATTAATTTGTAATTAAATATTAAGTGTAAAATATTCTTATAATAATTATTATAATAAAATAACAACCGTATAATTTATATTGCAAAATACACAACTAACATCCACCATCTACCAAAATATTCTGCAATGATCATTATATTATTTTAAGTTTTAAATTAAATGAAATAAGTTTGATTAATAATACTAATTAACATATTCAAACACGTCACTACATACTGGCCCATATCATAATAGGACGGTATTCTACGACCAAACCACAGACCAGACACACCTCCAATAATGCCCATATACTGGGATAACTCCATGCGGGGTGAGTGCACGTATCGGGTGATTGTGTTGGTGGGCATATTAATTTGTATAAAGAACTGACTATCAATATCTTTTCCATTGTTATCTCTCTCAATATCATTAATTTTATTCATAGTGTAGTACACGGCGTGACAGTCGGGCCTACGGCCGATCTCGTTGGCGCAGTCAGCGGCTATTTGTTTATCAACCGCACGATTTGATGTCTTTCTAGTCCTCTCAAAACTCAACTTTCCATATTCATAATATTCATTGTTATAAAACATGTCCGGCTGCCAGCCGCCAAAATGATCACGGTAATAGTCGGCTCGACATTGGCCAACGCGTTGCTTATGTGACCGATACCCGAGTAGTGGGTAATTGGCGCATTGGGTCCGGTACGGTGGGGGCAGTTGTTCAACATGGACCTCTTTGTAGGAAATATCAATTTCGTAATAATATTGATGATTCAGTTTCATGGCGGTCGTCTGGCCACCAATGGGGCCCACAAACGGCTCCCGCCGGTCGTGCATATAAATGGTCAGCCCCTGTAAGTACTTGACGTCCATTCGGAACTCAGCCAGGGAAAACGAATTGTCCCGAAACATCACGTCGTGGTCCACGCGGTACTGATCGTTGTCCGACATTTTGACGTTTTGACTAAACATAGTAAAACATTTTACAGTTTCGCTTATTGACTCGACCACCGGTGCTACCAGAGGGCAGTTGACATACTGGACCGATAACGACAAGGCTCTGGGTTGTAACACTTTGCAAGCTTTGAAGAACCGGTTGGCGTCGATCGTGCCGTTCAACAGCTGCTCCTCTAGTGTTAGGTTCATAAGATATTCCCAGTATTGCCAATTGTGTTCAACGGTGTCGGTTATGTTTGCCAGTTTGGTGTCGTTTGGGTACCGGTGCCGTAAATACTCCCAATTTATTACGTTACTAACATGAGTGCATATAGTGAACGCCGGCAACTCTATCACCTCAACCGTCTCAAGCACTACGGATACTATTGTTTCGTAACTAGTGTTGACAAAACAAATTTATACTTTTTAATATTGTTAATATTTGAGTAAAATTTTAAGTCAAAGTATGGCTAAATTTATGAGTACTTTTACATGGGTTATTTTTTTTGGTGAATGACATGACATACATGTATGTGAATCATTTCTTAATGCATAGAAATGTATGTAATGAACTAAAAATTTGGCTATAACTCGGGTGCCTGTGGCCATTAGCACGATTTAATGGCTGAATAGTCATCTCGTGACCACACTCTACACATACACATATTATTGATAACTCGCACTGAATCCGAGATTTCCACCTACATCTATGTCTTTTTAGTTTATCATGTAAAACAGAATTTATATACTGTACGATCTTACTTGTTCATTAAGGATAATAGTTAACATTAACGTTAATATAAATTACTTAACAAATAGTTATACCGAAAGTATATGATACTGAAATCGACAATATTCCAAATGCAACCAATCAGTAACGGTATGTATACAATAGCGCGGGTCGTGTCGACTAACATAGTTGGTGTAAGTTGTATATTTTGTCATAAGTTATACAGTGAGTATTTTATTATTATTATTAGTATTTAATTAAGTATTTTAATTGTAAATACACATATAGTAGGTAATCTAATATTATTATAAACGGTTTATAAATTATAATACAAAATTAATATGCTTAGTTCAAGACAAACATTAATATAAATTATTTATTTAAAAATGAACAACTAGTCTATAATAAATAATAATAATAAGCTTTTAATGAGCAGATTAACCTTGGTGTTTAATGAATTGGTAAGTCGTTTGTAACTTCAAGACACCAGACACAATCAACGGAGTACTTAATAAACAATCAATAAATTGATTATAATAAGTAAAAAACATTATCAAAACCTTGAAATAATAAATATAATTTAAACAATTAATTTAAATATAAACTAACTTTGTATAATAATCGTTACAAGATTTTTCTAGTGATTATTTTATCAATAAATATGAATATTATGTTAAAATATTACATGAGTACTGGTATGAATGTTTAATCAAGTTTATATGTAAAATGTTTAGAAGAGGGGTATTCTCATTAAAATCTATTTTCGACAAAAAAGCTTTACTCTAGATGGAATAAGTAATGAATAATATTAGCATTAAAAAATTATTGTTTTATTTATATGCATTTTATACTATAATTATATGGTGTTTATAATTATTAATAAATTGTTTTATAATTAACAAAATTCAATAATTACTTTAACCATGTAATTCCGTAGGGCGCAGTTAGGTTGCACATTTGTATTGCGATGTTATTTTGTATCATTAGTTTTGTACTTTAGTAATAAAATTAAACTCGGCGTTTGTTGCACTATTCAGTTGGTGTTGTACTATTATGGTTATATTTTATAATATTTCTGACTATTGTTAATGTAGTGATACCTGTTAATTTAAGATAATTGTATGGTGTTTACCATGGGAGTGGTCAATATAATCTTGTTAATCCAATTAATATAATGGCTAATCCGTGTATTAACAAAAGGAAAGTTGGATTAATAACAAGGCACGCCATCCACAGCCGTACAAATCAATTGCCATCGATTGATATCTGGTAACCAATAACGAGGGGACCGCCACCGCTGCCCTAACCTGTGCCCTCACAAGCGGTTGTATTGCCAACACCGAGCATATTGTCCGTGACGTTGACATCCGGTAGAATGCAATCGCAGGCCGAGTTATTCAACACACGTACGGTCACATTCAGGCGCCGATCCCTACAATCATTCAATCGATCCCTATCATGCACTTTCTGCCAACCAATCAGTGCAACTCATTTGTCGCCGTATTCATTGGCACCGACAGTGGACGCCGGTAGACATAATTAATTTTTACAATATTTATAAATTTTACATAATATGCATTTTATTGTAAAATAATTACTAAAAAATTGTTTGTAATGAATATTATATAAATTTAGTTAATACCGATATAATTTTTTTGGAAATAATTTCAAGGTTTTATATTGAATTTTTTATTCATTATAATTAATTTATTTATTATTTAATAAGTGTTCTTTTGATAACATTTATATTTTTCAACCCCAAGGTAAACGAGGCCACACAATTAAAGTGAACTTAATATTAGATATTGCTTACCAGTTGCTTATATTTAAAATAAGAGTTTATATTACTACTTTTACGAATCATAATTTGTAATTATAATATTTAAGCCGTTTAATAATATTATTAGTTTACTTATGTGTGTATTTATTGCAATAAGTTTACTATAACTAAAACAAACACAAATTAATTTGTAATTAAATATTAATTATAAAATATCCTTATAATAATTATTATAATAAAATACCAATTGTATAATTTAGATCTGAATATACAACTTACATCAACCATGTTAGTCGAGGTAAACGTTAATAACTTTGCCGTCCGCGCCATCGTATGCCTGGCATTACTGATGGGTTGCATTTGGCATATCGTCGATATCAGTGTCATATACTTTCGGTATATTTATAAATTAAACTTTATACAGTATTTATTATTTTATGTATTACTTTATTTGTCATTATTTTTGTAATAGCTATGCATCCTTGTTTATTATAATAAATACAGGGATTGAAAAATATTATAACTAAATAATCTTCATCAATTAGCAATATATTGAGAAAAATAAATTACAATAAAAAAGTAAATGAAAATTTTATAATTAGTTTATTAAATATTAAGCTAAAATTTTTATCAAAAATTAATCTATTAAAAGCTTTTTAAAATTTGTTTTGTCACAAATTAGTTACGAGACTACAGTATCTATAGTGCTTGATAGAGCACAACTGATAGAACTGCCGGCAATTACTATATGCACTAATGTTAGTCACGTGATCGATACGGAGTATTTACGGCACCGGTACCCAAACGACACGGCACTGGTCAACATAACCGACACCAATGAAAATAAATGGCAATACAGACAATACCTGTTAAACCTAACACTGGAGGAGCAGCTGTTGAACGGCACGATCGGCGCAAACAGGTTCTTCAACATATGCGGAGTACGGGCACCCCTGGCCCTTTCTAATGTATCAGACCGACAGTATCATCACGTCAACTGCACTTTAGTATCACCGGTGGTTGAGTCAATTAACAATTATTACAAATGTTTCACTATATTCAATCAAAACGGCAGCAAATTAACAAATCGGTACCGCGTGGACCACGATGCGGAATTTCATGAAAACGGGTTTAACCTGTTTTGGTTCGCACTGAACACCACATACTTACGAGAGCTAAGCCTTTATATGCACGACCGGCGGGAGCCGTTTGTGGGCCGAGTCGAAGGCCAGTCTACAACCATGATTGTGGATCACCGACATTACGGTACAGTCGGTATATCGTACAAAGAGATCGACATTAACCGATTGCCCCCACCCTACCGGACCCAATGCGCCGATTACAGGTCACTTGGGTATAGATCGAAAAAGGACTGGATTAGCCAATGCCGTGTTCAATATTACCGCGATCAATTTTCCAGTTGGCCCCCCTGGACGTTATATCGCAAAGAACATGTTGGTAATTTGAGTTTTGCCCCGATGAGTTTGCCATTAAATCGCACAATCGATAAACAAATAGCCGCCGACTGTGCCAATCGGATCGGCCGTAGGCCCGACTGTCACGCCGTTTACTACACAATGAATACATTTTATAGCTATCCGAGAGTAGTCGCTAACGATAGTAATGATTCAAATACGTTATTTTGGTTATTTTGTATTGTGCCCACCGATCCAATCACCCGTTACGTACACTCACCCCGTATGGAGTTATCCGAGTATATGGGCATTATTGGCGGTGTGTCGGGCCTATGGTTTGGTTTAAACATACTGGCCTTTTATGATATTGGCAAGTTTGTGGTAAAAAAGGCTCGCGCACTTTTTAAGTAATATATTGTATTGAACATAAATTTAACATCCTTTTTAAATTAATAATTAAGGGTAATTTTATTCTGTAGTTGTTATATCTAAATAGTTGAAAAATATTTAATAATATTTGATATTTTATGATTCCTTAATATAAAGTTTTATTGTAATAAAAACATATATTTAATCTATTTTATTCTTACAAGTTAGTAGTCCAATCGATATAACTAATCTAATCCTAATTTTGTTAATCCTTCAAATGGTGTTGTACTACCTATACTATACCACCATGGTTATTTGTTGTACTATTGCTGTCTTATTGTTGGTGAAGTGCTACTTATTTGATTTAATTATAATTTTATAGTGTTTACCATGGTAGTGGTCAATGTAATCTTGTTAACCCAAATAATATAATGGCTAACCCGTGTGCAAACAAATAGAAAGTTGGATTGATTACATGCATATAAATTATAAAGTGATAACTAGAAAGATTTCTGTAATGAATATTATTTAATGTTAGTTAATATCAAAATAATTTTTTGAAAATAATTTCAAGGTTTTATATTAAATTTTGTCATTTATTATAATTTATTAGTTTATTACTTATTATGTGTTCTGGCGATTAAATAAAGTTCTTTATATATTTCTAAACCCCAAGGTAAACGAGATCATTATATAATTAAAATGAACTTAATATTACATATTATCAACCAGTTGCTTATATTTAAATTAGTAGTATATATTTATACTTATACCTTGAATTAGGCGAAGTATATGTAATTTTGATTTATAAACCGTTGTATAATATTATTAGTTTACTTATGTGTGTATTTACTTTGAAAAAGTTTAATATAACTAAAGCAAATACAAATTAATTTGTAATTAAATATTAATTGTAAAATTTTCTTATAATAATAAAATACCAATTGTTTAATTAAAATACAAAATATAAAGTATAAAATATAAATACAAACTTTATAACTAACATCAATCATGTTAGTCGAGGTAAATGTTAATAACTTTGCCATCCGAGCCATTGTATGCCTGGCATTACTGATTGGTTGCATTTGGCATATCGTCGATATCAGTGTCATATACTTTCGGTATAAATAAAGTTTATATTTATTATTTTATTTGTTACTTATTTGTAAAGTACATTAACATTATCGTTAACCATATTCCCCAATTAACACCACAATTAAATGCTGTTTTATATAATAAATTAAACATTAATTTTTGAAACTAAACAGTCATTATTTTCATAACAGTTATGCATCTGTTTATTCTAGTAAATATAAAAATGCAAAATATTATAAATAAATAATCTTAGTAAATTAGCAATATATTGAGACATTTATAATAAACATGTAAATGAAAATTTTATAATTACCCTAAAAACCCATAGATAAGTTTATAGGGTAGTTTATTAAATATTAAGTTAAAATTTCATCATAAAATAACCCTATTAAAAGCTTTTTAAAACTTGTTTTGTCACCACAAACTAGTTACGAAACTACAGTATCAACAGTGCTTGATAGACCACAAGTGATAGAACTACCGGCAATCACTCTATGCAGCCATATTAATAACGCTATAGACGTGGACTATTTGCGGCACCGGTACCCAAACGACACGGCACTGGCAAACATAACCGACACCAATGAAAACAAATGGCAATACAAGCCATACCTGTTTAACCTAACACTGGAGGAGCAGCTGTTGAACGGCACGATCGGCGCCAACCGGTTCTTCAACTATTGCGGAGTGCGGGCACCCCTAGAATGGCCGGCAGCGGACTATACCAACTGCTCATCAGTATCACCAATAGTCGAGTCAATTAACAATTATCAAAAATGTTTCACCATGTTTAATCAAAACGCCAGCCAATTAGCGAACAACAATCGGTACCGCGTGGACCACGATGCGACATTTCGCGAAAACGGGTTTAACCTGTTTTGGTTAGCGCTGAACACCCAATACTTACGAGAGCTAAGCGTTTATATGCACGACCGGCGGCAGCCTTTTGTGGGCCGAGTCGAGGGCCAGTCGACTCCCATGAATTTTGATCACAAACATTATGGTATAATTGCCATAGCGTACAAAGAGGTCGATATTAACCGATTGCCCCCACCCTACCGGACCCAATGCGCTGACTACACGTCACTCG